GCCGTTAGTATACTGAGGTCTGAGGGCCTCTAAAATTATGATTATCCCGGGCTGTTTTTTTCTCCCAATCCGCCACTGGAAAATGCTATAAAATATTTAGATAACAAGTAAAAAAAAAATTTAAAAACATTTATCTTCAATAAATTTAACATGTAATTATGAATGTAGATAGGTATAATTTAGTATTATTCTATAAGTAAAGGTACATATAATAATACAGACTATAGCTTAATGCCCCAATACGAAGATATACTACTTTAAAGACTAATAGAAATATTAAAAATTAATTATTTTAATAAAAATAAACAATAATATGTACATATTTTAATTAAATATTACTTACTTATATTGGTGTTTCTGCTAATCGCTATTTACTGTGCTAGTAATAAATTTATAAAAATACAGTGACACTATGGTAGTGTGGTATACGTCGACTGTCGAGTAATTAGCAACCGTCTGGTGCGGCCGTGCAGGTTGTGGTTTACTATTCAGAATAGTCAATTCTACAATGTATTGGTTATAGGTTTTTGTCTAAAAATATCGCGTACTGCGTGCACCGTCACTTATCGTAGCAAATTGAGTATCGTTATCGCGATGACGCGATCTATACTACATATTATACTAATATATTAAAATATTATTAAGTAGAAACGGCGGCATAGACGAGCGGTGCGGTGGAGGAAATTGTTTTGACTACGTGACTGGACGTCATGCTCTTACTCGCGCATTGTATGACTGTATAAGTGTTAAATTATATTTTAATTTTATTTTAAGTATTAATATTAAGTGGATGACGCAAAGAAGAAAATTTTCGTCTCAATAACGGTGATCGGTGATAGTTCTTTGTTTTTAATTATTATACATCAAGACTTTTTGGGGGCCTCCTAAAAATATTACAACAATGGGGCCTGGGGCAAAATGGTCCCGTTGCCCCCCCCCCTCTGAACGGCCCTGACGACAAGAATACTAAATGTCCGTTGTTCAGCGCCTTCTTTCCCGGTAGAATGTATCGAGGTTATGACCAGCTATACATGTAATGTAAAATGTATTAACTCATTCTAAAAATTAAACTAACAATCATATATAATATATTTTATACCTCTTGACGTTACCATATTCACATTGTTGACATTTTGTAATTTATCATTTTCATGTATAATTACAACAATAAACTACTTTGATACCCACAATTAAACGAGCCATGAGCCGTGAGCAAAGCCCAGCTTTATCGACAGTATTATTATCTATTAATAAATTAGTTACGGAGCAATAAGTAATAGTTTTATCTGCATAGACGATAGACGTAACTAGGATTTAATAGTTAGAGGGGCTAGAGTCCTAGAAAACTTATGTTCAAAATAACTTTGGGGGCCCCACACCTCCACCACAGTAACCACATAACTGTCGTCTAAAATCAAAATTAAAAATAAACAATAAAATGAAAGTATAAACTCATCATTAAAAACAAAATGAAAATAATTAAATAAGTACAATATATGTTATAGGGGGCTAAATACACATATAGAGGGGCTAAGCCCCCTAGCCCTCCCCTCGGTTACGCCAATAACTATATCTGTAATGTACTAACAGCTATAGATGCGACGTTTTGAGGTGCTAACATTTAGAATTGGGGAAAAATATAAGATAATTAACTAAAAATTCCAAATGTATTATATAACTAATTTAGCTTTTGTAGTATTCGATCACATAAAAACGTGTTAAAAATAAATAATATAACAATAATTTTACAGCATATTTTTAACTATTAAAATCAAAACTTTTTGCATAATGAAGTTCAAAATTGAAAATGGCTGCAACATCGCAGAGTTCTATTTTCTCAATAGTGTTCTTTTTCTTTGATATTTCTATATCCTCTGATACTGCTAAAAATGTTCTCAATGTGTTGTAGCAATAATATTATACTTATTAATAAATAGTATGTGTGCATCAACGTCGATCGGTATGGTATGCCGCACGGTGTGAAAACTCCGGATTCCTAGAAACGCTATCGCATATCTTAAATTTAATTAGTCAGTATACATAGTGGGCCTAAAAAGGAAGAAAGTCACTGACACAGACGTCAATACCACTAAAAGAGAAAGTCAAAGTTCCAGTCCCTGAAGTGCAATAATATGATGGTATAAACCATAATCCTGTGAAGACAACTAAAAAACAAGCGTCAAGGTGTAACAATAAAAATTGCACTTCCTGAACTAAGTATTTGTGTAAAAATGTGACTTCCCTGTTTGCCCAGAGTGTATGAATAGTTACCATACCAAAACACTTTAGTGAACATTTGAAACTGAAAGAAACTTACTATACTGTAAGTACCAAAACTTTAATTTATAAGTAAAAAGGGAAGTCCCTGTAAGGCTGTAAATATTGTTTTTAGTACCTATATTATTTTATAATTTAATATATATATATAAATTAAATGTTATCTTTTAATTGTTGTGTATTTTATATAAAATATTATGTTATTTTATTATCTTTGTTAACTTGGAATGTTATATTTGTTGTTATAGTTATAGTGTCTGCATGAGGTAATTCAGATGGTTATTATACAAATGTATTCATAAACTTTGACTATTTTTGTTTTTATACAATTTTGGCATAGATGTATCATTTGATATCGATCTGAAATTCTAAGTAAATCCTCCCGTCCTATCAAATCACTTACTTCTGACTATAGAGACCAACCATCTAGATCTACTGGAATTCAGAAAAATAGGTGAGAAAAATAATGTATCAAATATAGTTTATACTTTATAATATAGGTATTGTTTCATACAAATATACAAATATGTATAGGTATTTATAATTTTTGTTCATTTAAATTGCCGACATGACATAGTGGAAATAGCTTGATGAAATGATGGCATGTCAAAGTAATCAAATATCTACTCAAAGTTTTTAGTGCATATTTTTTCATCTTTAGACATTTTTTGATTTAAGGACATACTTTTGAATACGGGAGCATATTTTAAGTTTTTAGTGCACAATTTGATAGTTAGTCAAAATTTTTAATATGAATCCTTACCGAATCCCTACTATGTGAGGGCTCTACCATGAAAGCTTAATATATGCGTATGATAGAGTAAATATAATTTAACGATATTTTATTTTGTTTAATCTAATATATTTTTTAATGTTACACTAAAACCATGTATTGTAATTTGTAATGATACATTTGATTCTTCAATATTATGTAAAATGTTTTATTTTTATTTTACAAAAACCTAATGTTAAATTATAATATTAATCAAAATGTTATATTGTATTTTTTTAATTTACTTATTTATAGGTAACCTTTCCTACATTTATAATTCGCATTATATTAAATATCAGTGAGTTTTATTTGTTTAAAGTACATATTTTGAGGGCTGTTTTAACATTTTGTATGAATCCTAAAGAGTTAGAATTATATGCTCACTCAATATTATTGCATTTTTTAAACGAGCTTGTATGATCTAGAGATATTAAAATTATTTTAACATTGGATTTTCCGCCGTAAATAAACGAATTCTCACAGAATGATTTTCCTATTTGGTCGTAATACAAAAACGAATAACTGTAGATGAAAAATATTATAGATACATAAGCACAATTTTTTTTATGACCATTTAAAGTTTAAAATTTGCATCTTATTTTGGAGTTACAAATGTATAAAATGTTCAGTTTTTATATCTCAAGATTAAAAATTAAAAACAACGTATCTCATTAATAGTTCATACTGTAACCAAAAAATCCAAATATTATATAAACTCAGTTTTTTTTTTAATATTTAATATTTTTGAATATATTTTAAGTTCAAATTTGGATGAAAGTAGATATTAGTTAAATAGAAAATATCGATTTTAGTTATTTTGTTGTAATTTTAAAATTGTATTATTATAAAGGCAGACTGTCGTTTTACAGTACTGCAAATTGTCCAGTTCATGTTATACTTATACCTACCTACAATCATAAGCGGAAATCTATTGAAAATATTGGGGGAGGCTACTATTTTTCAAAAGAACCTAGGTCGTGGGAGGGCTTTGCCCCTTCACAATAACTGTTGGTCTTTTGTAAGAGGCTTGATTGACTTTAGAGATTTCCACCCTGCAGACTGTGGAGTATTTTCAAATTGTTTGCGGAAGGAGGGGGGTCTAAAAAATAAATGAATTTGCAATATTATAAAAAATACATATTGTTTATGAATAAATAATTCTATTATTCCATTATTATAATTAATACAAATTATTATTTTTTTTAAGTAAAAAGTAAAACGTCTTTTTTTGACAGTTTATCAGTTATTTCTTTAGGCGTAATTAAGTAATTCTTACGAGTTCTTATTTATTGATAACATAGCTAAACCATTCAATCCCCCTATAAACAAATTATAACTGTCCATTGTCATATCAGAATACCCTAACCGAAAAAAGCTAGCAAGCCATTTAATTTGAAACTTCAAGTTTCTAGAAGTTTTATTTTTTTCAACAAGGAATATTTTCAGGAAAATTATATTATACATAGGGAATCCAAATTTTATTTAATGTATCATGTATTTCATTTTGAGTCAATACTGTTTTGACGTAATTGAAAATATCGGGTCTATTTATATGGGACGCGGACGAAGTAGGGATATCAGTATCTGAAACTGAAACTTACTGAGTCTGTTTTATTTTGCAAATCAACAACTGCTTCTTGTGTAGATGTTACATTTCTAGTAGATTTTAAAAAAGACTGAATATTGCATGGGTTCCTTTTAGAAGTCATAATAATTGAGATATGTTTAGAGTAATATAAAAATTCCTTACTTTCATGTTACGTGTTTATCGTGGAGTAGTCGTGTTTCTGTGCATCTCTGTTAATTAAATTATGTATTTTATGTATTTTATGTAATTATTATTTGTTATTTGATTACGATTGGTCGATAGTCGATAAGGGACTGAACAAACGCACAGATAGCCGAATAAACGTAGACTGCCTGCTCGAAGACGGCGTATATTAAGCCGGGTCCACACTAGGACGAACATTGTTGTCGAACATGTTCGTTGAGAATATTTCCTGGCTCGACGAACCAATGCTACTGTACTTTAAAATGTTTGACAACAATTTTCGTTCAAAATACACAAAGATTTACCGCCTTTTAAATTGGCAACTTAAAGATTTCGCATTCGTATTATTTATTTCATTTTAGTAGGAACCTACATCTAGTGCGGAGTGAACAAATTGCCAATTTAAAAAAAAAAAAATCCGTTTTAATTTTTTTTTCAATATGAGTGACGAAGATATAATTATTGCAAGTGCAGCGTTTGTTTTTACATCCTTAGTTTCTCAAGCAAAAAAAAAAAAATCTTTTCATAAAAGACGTTGTTGGCAACGTACAATTTTTGAAAGTAGAAGTCGTTATAATGGCAATGATCTACTAAATGATTTAAGTCTTGAGCATCCAGGATTCAAAAACTTTATAAGAATGTCGCCAACAGATTTTGAATCATTGCTTGAAGTTATTGGTCCTCAAATTGGGAAGGATATTACTCATCTAAGAGAAACTATTTCACCAAATGTGAGGCTGGCGGTAACATTACGTTTTTTGGCTACTGGTGATTCGTATACAAGTTTAATGTATCTTTTTAAAATTTCCAAACAATTAATATCTAATATAGTACCAGAAGTGTGTGAAGCTATTGTTGAAGCGCTAAAATCATACGTTCAGGTAAATATTAAATACTTAAATATAAGTTATTTTGACATCATAATATGAATAATATTATAATGCCAATAATATGTAGATAAAATATATGTATAAATGATAAAGGTACAAATAGTTTTATTATAATAGGTAAATAAAAACAAAAATTATTAAATAATGGCTAAAATTTTATTAAAAACAAAAAATAATAATTGTAATCACTTTTGGACATAGGTATATTATTCATAAATTATATTACCTATATAATAATAAATAAGATTTTGTATGAAAAATTAACATAAATTAGTATTATTAATTAAAATAAAACAGCATCAGAAAAATTAAAAAAAAAAAAGGAATCCTACCTGGAATATAGCACGTGGTTAACTTTCACTATAGCGCGAGCGGTAGCAAAAATCCGTCGTATAACTTTTAAAATTAATTAATATTGTAATATGGTGAAGCGTTTTCTTGTGTATTTAAAATGGTTTCATGTGTTGGTGTAAGTGGTACGCTGGAGGAGGGTAATGGACTGAAATTATTATTTTGAGTAAAAGATGGTGCAGAATATAAGGATAAAGGAGAAAGTGTATTTGTATTACCTGAAGATGTACCAATAGAATGTAAAGGAATAAAAGAATTATTACTTGAAGATGGACCGGGAAAATGTATAGAATAGTCAGGTTGATTATTTTGTTGTAGCATTAACATATCCGATTCGTGAAGAATATAGTTAATTTTGTGTTCTGTATTTAAACGAATAAAATCTGAATAAGATCTAAGTTTGTTAGCGACGTGTTCCCCATAAGTAGTCGCGTTGTCCTTCAATTTACTTTTTTCTGAGTACGTTTTCAAAATAGAATAAACCTCATCTACCCTTGGATCTTCATCTGTTTTAATTTTTTTTTTTTTTTTGTTTTGGCGAAGCAAATCTCTTTGGTCGTTCTGTAACATTCCCATCACCATCAACACTATCTACCACGATGAAGTCATCTTCCAAGACATCTTCATTATCTGTTTCTTCCTAAACAATAATAATACCTATTTATGTAAATATATGTAAAATTAGATGCATACCCATTTCCATGTTCATTTTAGCCTATAATCTATATTATAATTTTATTGATAATTTATAAAAAAATTAAAAAAACCACTTCATTATAAAGTCAATACATCTCTCCGCTCAGAATCTAAAATTAATTGAAATAAAAATTAATGAGTCATTATTACGTTTAAGAATTTAAGAAAATAATATATAAGAACTGAAAAAAATAATTATATGAATAATATAATATAATATAATATCATTTTTTTATAATCTAATACTATTAATAAACAAATCATTAAATGTATAACAATATAATATAATATAAATTATTTAGGAGTAACATTAATTTTATTAAAATATTGTTTGTATTGTAAGTAGGAATTATAAATTATATAAACTAAAAATTTAGTTAATTTGTAATTTTGTTTAAAAAAAATGTACCTACTTATATTAAATATATAGAATTTTCCACTGCAATTTACAACATAAATTGTATATTTTTAATATAAAGCAATGCAATTATTGAACTGTATTAAAGATAAAATTAATTTTTTCTTGCTTGGTTGGTGGTGTAGGAGAGGAAACACAGAAAATTATATAATGATTTATTAACATTATTTTAACAACATTTTGCAATGTACTATAATCAAATAAAAATTATTTTTAGATGCCCAATTCATCAAACGCATGGGAATTAATAGCTAATGACTATGATGAATTATGGAATTTTCCGCAATGTGTCGGTGCAATTGACGGTAAACACATCGTAATGCAAGCACCTTTTAATAGTGGCACTGAATATTTCAATTACAAGGGGTCATTTAGCGTTGTTTTACTTGCTGCAGTGGACGCACATTATTGTTTTATTTTTGCAAGTATTGGGTGTCAAGGCAGAATATCAGATGGAGGCGTATTTAATAATTCCATATTGGCCAAAAAAATTTTGAATGAATCTTTAAACCTACCATCGCCCAAAGCACTTCCAGGACAACAAGAAAAATCTCCGTATGTTTTTGTATGCGATGATGCTTTTCCCTTGAAGGAAAATTTAATGAAACCTTTTCCTGGGACTTATTTACGAGGTTCACCACAGAGAGCTTTTAATTATCGGTTATCAAGGGCACGACGTGTCGTAGAAAATACTTTTGGCATAATGGCTTCAGTTTTTCGAGTTTTAAGAAAACCGTCATTACTACAACCAGAAAAAATAAATTCTATTGTTTTAGCGTGCGTCCATTTGCATAATTTTTTAAGACGGAGTGAGTCGTCAAAAAATTTATATTGTCCACCAGATATTTTTGACACCGAAGACTTTGAAAATCGAACTTTAAAAAAAGGAACTTGGAGGAGTGATTCGTCGGAAACCACGTCACTTTTACCATTGAAAAAATGTGGACGAAAATCAACAGCAGCTGCACATGAAACTCGTGAACGATTTGCTCGTTATTTTGCAACTACAGGGCGTGTTTATTGGCAAGATGAATTTGAATAAATTGTATTTAGTTACCTACTTCTATGCTTAATTTTTATTTTTCTACTGTAGTATTGTCTATAAACTATTTTACTATTAAGTATTAACCACTAAAAACTACCAATTCATTGTTTTTAGAATAATTATTCAAATAATGTTGTTATTACCTGTATATTATAAGTGTCTCTAGTAGGTTTTGGTTTATTTCTATCTGACAAAAAACTTAATGGCTTGTACAAATACCATGCACTTGAGTAATTATCATCGGTTCCAGCGCCGGATTTTTTACTATTTACTTTATGTTGTTCCCTACGAAATTGGGATTGTATAATTTTCCATTTTTTGTCAACTTCTTGCTGTGAAACACCCAAGATGTTGGCAATTTCATTGATTGAATCTGTCCTTCGGATTCGATTTCTGTATAGTTTGTGACTTGGATTCCAAATATTCTCACTTTGCTGTACTAAATCAATAAGTTTCAGAATTTGGTCTTGATTCCAGTCTTTTTCGGTCGACATTTTAAGTTAATAGATGATCTGATTATAACACAACACGGCGGTCACACAGTGGTGAAATACGAGTTACGACTGAATTGATAATTAAATGCACCCAAATACAAAATAAACATTATAAACATAGATTTATTATTAAAAATAATTTAAAGGATCATTCTTCAGTTTTGGATTTCCCTGTACGAATGTACGAATAAAATATATGAAAGTGGCACGGTATTGAGCTAAATTTAATAGTGTGTAGTTAAACACAAACAATTTACTTACATACAATTATTCTCCACTGCAGCAATAATATAAATATTTTATTAACTTATTATTAATAATTACTAAATACTTAAACTTCGAATGTGCAATACGTAAAAAAAAATATGTACTATTTAAAATGTTGTACCTACATATAGTTTATACCTACCGAATTAATTCATTATAATTGGATAGGAAGTAATATTTGATTAATAGTAATATTTAATTTGAGTCCAATATTTTAATAAAAACAACAATTTACATATTTTTTAATCCTTCATTCGGTATTTAAAATTAAAATTTAAAGTTTTGAATAAAACAATATTATAATTCAAAATGTTTACCTATACTATAAAGGGAAGTACCCGAGTAGCAATTTTAATGTTCAATGTCGGTTTCCAATTACCGTGTTAAAAATACGGTGCACACACTGTTTATGAACCGATAACTGAACCTATAATGGTTCACGAAAAATATGTTTAACATTTTGAATAACCGAAATATTTTTAAATAATTCAATGTCAGTTATTCAGACCTTGCACGGTGCCTACAGTGTGCCGTAAAACCGACATAAGTATATGGTGCTATGAAAATGTTCACACACATTGATTTAGTTAGAAGCTTGTGTTACAGTACCGTGCCATGCACGGTTCTATGACCGTACTTAATAACATTGTTACTCAGTGCCTGGTTGGTGTTATCGCACGGGACTTACAGTGTGCCGTAAAACCGACATAAGTATACTTGGTTCTATGACCGTACTTAATAACATTATTGCTCAGTACCTGGTCAGTGTTATCTGTTTTTACATAATATTATGTACAACTAATTATCTAATTAATCTAACTAATTATCTACAACAATATAATTATATACAACTTTTAATTCTTGTATTGGCCATACTGACTGTGGAGTGCACAATAGATTTTACGTAGTGCGCGTGTTTGGCCGTTTGGCGGTTATTACTTCGTTAATGGTTATAATTCGTTCGTTTATTGTTCCTGTGCCCATGCGACAATGCACTAATAAGCCACTAAATAATATTTCTATTCTTTAACGTGCTATTCTGATGTTTGAATGTGTTACAAGTTTTAACTTTTTTATACTAATTGCATGATCAGCAACGTCTACGGCTCAACACGCGTGTTCGCAAATTTCGTTCAATCAAAATGTAAGTACAATTATATTCTATAATCTATATACACGCTTTTTAATAACTTATACTTGCTATGAGTATGAGGCTATGAGCTTATAGTAGCGTATGCACTTTGCGTAGGTAAACAAAAATAATGAAAAGTAGTGTGCATTATACTAGTTGTATAAGCCACCAAATCAATAACTGAATAAGAAAATTTTTGAAACCAGCTACTTATTAATACTCGAGTTTGCTGGTATAATATAATTTAATCTCCAAAAATTAAATTCATATTTTTTTCGCTGTAGATATAGGTATTGGGTATTATAGGTACTGGATGAGATAGAGCGATACTAGGTATTTAAGTATGATCGGTACTGAACTATATGTTGATATCCATAATATTTATAAATCCTGATTCATAACTTTATTGTAAATTTATTTTGCATATTATTTATTTTCTACTTGTGTTATTTAAATATACAATTAATAGAAGTGTGAAACGATATGCTTTTGTATTAAATAGGTGCCTATACTATTACATTATTAGGAGTAGGTACATATTATTAAGAGAAGTATTTTTTAGTGCTTTTGTATTAAATAGGTGCCTATACTAATATATTATTAGGATTACCTGGGGGAGTAACTATTATTAAGAGTACCTACCTACATTATAAATTCCATGCAACAAATAACATATCATAACAGTATATTATATTATTGTAATTCAGTATAATAATTATAATTTAGTATAGCCCATAGATAATCAAGTTTTTGTTTCAATTAATATAATATACCTATGTATTTACTTGTTAATGATAATTTCAATAGATTAATGGATATTATATTTCACTTAGAAATGTTCAACAGCATTACCACTTATCATAGAGTCGGCCGGTGTGGTTAAAGTATGAAAAATGTTAGGGGAGGGGGGATGGTTGACTATAATAGATAGATTCTAAAAAAACTCACCGTCTCAGACCATACTAGCTATTTTAAAGGTACTATTATTATACTTATATTATATTTGAATCATAAATATGTTTCATTTTTTTACATTAATTGTATAATAACTATGATTTTGAAAGAAACAGTATTTATAATATGTGCTTTCCCCCACTTTACCTAGGTTCTGCATAAAGTGGATACCTATTGCCTATTTAAATTATTATTAGTAACTATTAGTTAAGGAAGTTCAATCAGATATGTAGTATATAACAGCAGATAAACTTAGATGGTAACTTCACCAATTTAAGATTTTTTACTATGTTTTGAATATGTATTGATACAATATGTTATTTACTTGAATATCTAAAATAAGTATACATTTATTTCTTAGCTATATTAAATCATAGGTTACAATCATAAAAAAAAAATGTTGTTTATAGGTCAATGTCTACTCGTTATCGCTGTAGAAAAAGAGCCGCATCTCTAATAGATTCAACATTTTTAACTAATAATGAAGTGAACATTGAGGATAACCAAAGACTACCTCCTTTATCAAACTCACCTTTACCTGCAGATTCACAGCCTATAAGTCCAGTAAAAGTAAATACTGGTTTAAATTCATTTGATTTTAATAGTGAAAATATTTTGAACCACAGTTCTAGTACTAGTAGTTCTAGTAGTCAGAGTAGTTCAGGTGAAGACAATTATACATCAGAAATTGATACACATGATGAAGATATTGGAGTAGTTATTGCCAAGTGGGCAAATAGGAATAATGTATGTCACTCAGTTTTAGATGACTTACTAGTTTCTTTATCCAAATTCCATTATTTCAAACATTTACCCAAGGATTCCCGCACGTTATTGCATACACCAGTTAAAACTGTATTAAAAAATATCAAAGGTGGAGTGTATTATCATTTTGGAATTTCAAATGAAATAGAATATTTAACAAAACTGAAACAGAATCTGCCTTCTAAATTTCTTTTAGTTGTTGGTATAGATGGACTACCACCAATAACAAAAAATCCAGCAAGCCAATTATGGCCAATACTTGGCTATTTTACCAATTTATTTACTGATAAACCTAGGGTGTTCATAATTGGCGCTTATTATGGGAAATCTAAGCCAGATGACTGCAATGAATATTTAGAAGATTTTGTTGATGAATTATGTATCTTAAATGATGTCGGAACTATCATTAAAGGTAATAAAATTAATGTAATGCTCAAAGCTATCATATGTGATTCTCCAGCTAAAGCATATGTTCTCAATATACATCACCACACTGCTAAAAATTCTTGTGAGAATTTCATGGAACTCTGTGTAGCCATGAGAATTCTTTCAACAGCAAATATTTCAGAGGAATATACAGAATTTGCCAAATCATTGGTAAATCATTTTGTTGATTCTTTTGCTAAACTGTATGGAAAATCTTACTTGTCCTCTAATATGCATATAATACAACATTTGGCTGATGATACCACACAATATGGGCCATTAGACACTTTTTCTGCTTTTCCATTTGAAAACTACATGCAACCCTTAAAAAAAAAAATCAAAAGTGGTGTAAAACCACTTCAGCAATTAGTAAGACGGTATGCCGAAGATCAATTACTTTTTAAAAAGGAAAACCAAAAATATAAAATTTCACTTGGGCCTGTCAATTATCGATGCGCAATAAAAAATAGACCAATGACCAATGATGTCTTTGAACCACAGTTCACGGGTTGGAGGATGAAACGGTTTGTTATATAACTTAATAGCTCTGATAATTGTGTTAAAATGAAAAATAATGATGTGGTAATTATTGAAAATATTGCTTCATCAAAATTAGACAGCAATATAATGATAATTGGAAGAAAATACAATACAATTAAGAATTTTTTTGAAAAGCCTTGTGCTTCAAACTTGTTAAGTATATACAATGCATCTCAACTCAGTCACCTTCAATCGTGGATGTTAAGTGATATAAAAGAAAAATTAATGTGCTTGCCGCTGATCGATTATGACATAAACAACTGTGTCATACTGCCTCTATTGCATTTACAATAATATCTGTTTAATTTTTTTTTATGCATAATTTTTTTTTTTTTTATTATATTTTGTATTATTGTTACATTGTATTTATAATGTATAATAGTACTAATTTTGAATTCACATACCTGTGTTCATATATAGACATAATTATACAAATAACTACCTAGGTCCAATTATGGTATAGATAGGAATAGTCGATTAAATTTAATTCATGATACTGCCATCTACAAATTCTACATTTATATGCAAAATTGAAATCAATATATTTCATTAAGTTTTCATTTTTAAAGGAAATTATACATCTAGGTATATCTGTAACTGAATATAAATCTTACAAATTGAACTTAAATTTACTATAGTATTTATACATTTTTTAGGCCCTGGTTTGTTGTTACATTTAACGTGACAAATGAAGTGCAGCATGTTCCTCACACGTGGCTGTCAAAAAATGTTTGTTGGTTTCCATTCATCCAGAGTGATAACAAAAAAATTTACTTTACAGTATCTCAAGTTGCTAACATGATAAAAAAGTGCACAGTACCTAACAAAAATGATGGGAAAAATTATGATGTCGTAATAAGAGCTGGACCATTTGGTAAGCAATAAATAAACTAAATAAATAATTTACCTAGACTTAAACATATAAAAAAATATTTGTTGAGATGTATAAATAGATGTTGGCTATATAATTGCTGTTAACATCTGTAAAACTTGTTAACCATTAAATCATTTACTATAATCACTACATTATAATATGATGAGTTACTATCCGAAAATGTATTAAATAGATACTCATATTTGTAACAAAAAACATCTAAAAACTTTTATATTAATTACATTTAATTTTTTTTAGATAAAGAGAGTCATGCCAAGAAAGTATCTAAAGCATGGTCAGGGCCAGATGATTCTTCGTCTGATAGCAATGTTAGTTTATCTCCTGAAAAGCCATCATCTCCTAAAAAAAGAAAAATTATGCCTTATTTTTCTAGTGTGCAGGAAAATGAGTTAATTGTAAACCTGCCTAAGGCACCTACAACACCTATTAGAAAAACATGTAATATTATAATTTATTTTTAACCTATATATTATAAACTAAATATAATATCTATTTAATATTATTTTTATATTAATAGCGTCTACTAAAAATAGCATACCTGTTTCCTTGGGCTTGATCTCACCTATTATCTTAAAAGGTAATGTAATGCAAAATTAAAGAATATTATTACAAAAATATATTATAATATTAACATTTTTAAAAAAAATTTTCTCGTGTAGATATAAGTACTAATTCTACAGTAAGTTCCTCCGACATTAGACCCTTAAATAATTCTACTGTTGATGTTTGTGCCCAATCAACTCCAAATTCATCCAGTAACTTAATAATTAAAGACAAGATAAATACAGGTGAATATAATTTAATTCAAATTATAATCTTAAATTGTTATTGTGAAATATAATAATATATTTTATTATTACTGTTATTATAGATTGTAGTACTGCATCTTGCTCATATGATCCTGGGAATTTTAATGTAGTAACAACTATTAATGAAGTTGGTGTGGAAAGTAAGAGATATTACACTGTTAACTGTATTCTGTTTTTGAATGACATGATTATGTAATTTAATTACATAAATTAATTTTTACAGCAAATAATTCCTGTGTGTCAGTCATGACTGATTTTAAGAAAATTGAAAAAAATTGTGATGTACCAATTGAATTTGATGTTAATAATATGGATGAAAAAATTAGCTCTAATAATAGCGTTAGAAAAGGCAAGTTACTTTCTATATTTATGTAATCCAATTATTTTTATGTATTTTTTATTAGTAATAGTACCTATTCTTTATTAAAATTTATTTAGAATTATTTGGACACGATTCAAATGAAGATGAAGAATTAATAAAAAGTTTAGATAACGGTAGTACTTTAACACAGTTTATTTTAGAGGCTCAAAATGATGATTTTTTTATGGAAAGATCTACTAACTGTGATAATTCAAGTCTTGTTGAATACACACAAAATGGTTTGGATGGATATTAAGTTTTTAATATGCATTATTATGAATTGCCGCCAACTATAATTTTATTTTCAGAAAATTGTTGTTGTAAGAATATTACTGAGCTTAAGTCTATTTTAAAATCAAACAACAAGTCTGTAGAATCTACACTTAAGCAACTGATGACACAGATTTTCATACTGAATAACTCAAATACCAGGATTTGCAACGCTTTTAAAACAATGGACCAAAAAATTCAAATGATTATGAAGTCAAATGACAAGACAAGATCCTTGGCTCTACCTATACCCGTGTTACCCTCATCTTTAGTCGGTATATTACCAACCAAATCAATTGATGAAGTGGATGCTGTAGAAGCACTTTTGACCGATAACATAGATGGGTTGAAAAACCAAGAGGAATTGGTGAGTAAAAATAATAATCGTGAAATGCTATATAAATTATAAGATACCTACATATAATATTTAATATAGATTATAATATCTGTACTTATGACAAGTATATAAACATTTTTAAGTATGGTAGTATATTATAATTTATTATTCATTTTCACTATATATTAATTGTATGTTTAATTTATATAATAGAATAAATAAATATATATTATGTAGGTATATATGATCCTGTATACAGGATGTTAAATCAGGATTTACTTATTGCGATAACTACTGAGATGATAGAGATATCACAATTATAGTTTTTTTATAAGATTCATTGACAAGTACTTAAAATATTTCATATTTTAATTTATTTTAATTTTTTTGAACAAATTGAAAGTATAGTGCTAAACATTTAATTTTTTCCCCCTTAACTATTGATTTTTAATAATTTTTTTAGTAAATACTATAGGTATGATAGCAAAAATTCAGTTTTGTTTGGTTAGTATATTATGTTCACTAATGGGTAATGTCTAAATCCTATAGTGGTGCTTCTTATCTGGACATATATAATAAATATATTATTTAAATGCTATATATATAACTAATATTATATACTGTACTTATTTATATATAACGTTATATACCTAATATAAAGGTTTAATTTTATATGAAACTGAATATTTTCAAACATTAATTAATAATTATGTTTTGATTTGTATGTTTACAGAAATCATATCTTTACATAAAATCATCGAACACATCTACATTTAGTGCTGCGATAAGGCATACAATTGATACATGTTTTGAATATCACATTTTAGCTTTATTTAGTTATAAAGGAAAAACTAAACAATCCTTTATAGACCTAAAATTATATTCAGTTATTTATGGTGAGTTGAGCAATTCTTATTTATACTTCACTAGTTCATTTTCATATAGATATTGTCGCAAAGTGACAATTTTAATTTTCATATTCTAAAATATCATTATAGGAATTAAAAACTGAAAATAACTTTTTCCACTAATTTAAATGTTTATTATGTTTCAGAAGCTTTATCTGGGTTCCAAACATCTCCAATTGAAGAGCAAACGTTCCACAAGGTTACTGACAACTATATTCGACATGCCTTTAAAAAAGAAACCAATACACCAATTTCAAATTAATTTAAATAAACACTTAAATCACTTGCCATCAAAGTTGTTAGTTTTTTTTTTTTATTAATATTAATAATGGTTTTATTAATACTATTTTTTTGTTGCTTTATGTACCTATATTAAAAAGTTTTGATACTATACAAATATAATGTTTTATTTATCACAATACCTATAATATGTGGATTAGGTATTATATAGGTTAAATCAATTGAGAATCCATCGCAATCTTTTAAAGGGTGGCCTAGATATTGTTTATAATGCAGAAACACTAAAATGAATTGTCTATTAATTTTTTTATGGAAGCTTGATAAGTTTTTGTTTGAGACTAAGTATCTTGGGCCCCACTATTTGTTTTTATGCCTATGAATGAATAATTACACATTTATAAAAAAATTAAATTCAATAAAGTTATTTATTACAGTTATGGTTACTTGCATAGGCGAAACTACGGGTCAGGCCAGTCAGGCCATGGCCTGACCTAATACTGACTAAAAATTTGTATATATTATATATTTTAATAATTATTTAGTCATTATAAATAATAATATTATTATATTTATACATGTAAACGTATACATTTGTACGTTTTATATAATACCACTTGTACCTATTATTATAACTTATAAGTGTACGAATATGTGGACTTGATATGATTTCTTAAATTAAATTGTACACACTACACAATGAATATAATAATAACATTTATTTTTAACATTGATTATGGAAATATGGCGTCGCAGTCTATTGAATAATATAATATAGACTCTATAATATGGTCTCTATTCTATGTACTCGAATAATCGATTTTATCAGTTATTGTTTAATTTAGACATTTGACGTTTATTTTTATATTATAGCTAGTAATAGTTAATGTTACGTAACAAATCGCCAATCGGTAATACTAATGTTACCCGTAGTCAGCGTTGCCAGGTCTCCGGGAAATTCCCGTGGCGCGGGGAAATTCTGTAGAGAAATCATAAAAAGGGAATGCGGGGAATCTAGAGTATACATACATCAAATAAAGGGAAATATACACTTATCATAAATTACATTTTAAAACACAATTATACTTTTTTTTACTGTTACCACGATTTGAGATAATACTATCATAGTTCATGCTGTTACTCAACAGCATAAACTATAGGCGTGTTTTGGCGGATTAAACTGTTTAATAAATAAGTTTATGGTTATAGAATACGGTTAGAAAACGTTTACTAGAACGCCAAAACGAATTGCTTGAACATGTTTACTGAAATATTTGATAACACTTATCATAGAAATACCGGGCATACAAAAATACAAAATACAAATTTCTAAAATCAAGTCCAAGTATAATAATCTCTACTTGTGTATAAGTTTTTATTTTTTACTAGTGTAAAGACANAAGTCTGATTTGTTAATTTGTAAATCTTTATTTAATTCTAATTGTTATTAATTTTCTTTATTATTATTATTATATTATAATAATATGTGGTTTATTTTCCTAATTTAAATTTTTTAAATGTTAATCAAAGTCTGATTTGTTAATTTGTAAATCTTTATTTAATTCTAATTGTTATTAATTTTCTTTATTATTATTATTATATTATAATAATATGTGGTTTATTTTCCTAATTTAAATTTTTTAAATGTTAATCAAAGTCTGATTTGTTAATTTGTAAATCTTTATTTAATTCTAATTGTTATTAATTTTCTTTATTATTATTATTATATTATAATAATATGTGGTTTATTTTCCTAATTTAAATTTTTTAAATGTTAATCAAAGTCTGATTTGTTAATTTGTAAATCTTTATTTAATTCTAATTGTTATTAATTTTCTTTATTATTATTATTATATTATAATAATATGTGGTTTATTTTCCTAATTTAAATTTTTTAAATGTTAATCAAAGTCTGATTTGTTAATTTGTAAATCTTTATTTAATTCTAATTGTTATTAATTTTCTTTATTATTATTATTATATTATAATAATATGTGGTTTATTTTCCTAATTTAAATTTTTTAAATGTTAATCAAAGTCTGATTTGTTAATTTGTAAATCTTTATTTAATTCTAATTGTTATTAATTTTCTTTATTATTATTATTATATTATAATAATATGTGGTTTATTTTCCTAATTTAAATTTTTTAAATGTTAATCAAAGTCTGATTTGTTAATTTGTAAATCTTTATTTAATTCTAATTGTTATTAATTTTCTTTATTATTATTATTATATTATAATAATATGTGGTTTATTTTCCTAATTTAAATTTTTTAAATGTTAATCAAAGTCTGATTTGTTAATTTGTAAATCTTTATTTAATTCTAATTGTTATTAATTTTCTTTATTATTATTATTATATTATAATAATATGTGGTTTATTTTCCTAATTTAAATTTTTTAAATGTTAATCAAAGTCTGATTTGTTAATTTGTAAATCTTTATTTAATTCTAATTGTTATTAATTTTCTTTATTATTATTATTATATTATAATAATATGTGGTTTATTTTCCTAATTTAAATTTTTTAAATGTTAATCAAAGTCTGATTTGTTAATTTGTAAATCTTTATTTAATTCTAATTGTTATTAATTTTCTTTATTATTATTATTATATTATAATAATATGTGGTTTATTTTCCTAATTTAAATTTTTTAAATGTTAATCAAAGTCTGATTTGTTAATTTGTAAATCTTTATTTAATTCTAATTGTTATTAATTTTCTTTATTATTATTATTATATTATAATAATATGTGGTTTATTTTCCTAATTTAAATTTTTTAAATGTTAATCAAAGTCTGATTTGTTAATTTGTAAATCTTTATTTAATTCTAATTGTTATTAATTTTCTTTATTATTATTATTATATTATAATAATATGTGGTTTATTTTCCTAATTTAAATTTTTTAAATGTTAATCAAAGTCTGATTTGTTAATTTGTAAATCTTTATTTAATTCTAATTGTTATTAATTTTCTTTATTATTATTATTATATTATAATAATATGTGGTTTATTTTCCTAATTTAAATTTTTTAAATGTTAATCAAAGTCTGATTTGTTAATTTGTAAATCTTTATTTAATTCTAATTGTTATTAATTTTCTTTATTATTATTATTATATTATAATAATATGTGGTTTATTTTCCTAATTTAAATTTTTTAAATGTTAATCAAAGTCTGATTTGTTAATTTGTAAATCTTTATTTAATTCTAATTGTTATTAATTTTCTTTATTATTATTATTATATTATAATAATATGTGGTTTATTTTCCTAATTTAAATTTTTTAAATGTTAATCAAAGTCTGATTTGTTAATTTGTAAATCTTTATTTAATTCTAATTGTTATTAATTTTCTTTATTATTATTATTATATTATAATAATATGTGGTTTATTTTCCTAATTTAAATTTTTTAAATGTTAATCAAAGTCTGATTTGTTAATTTGTAAATCTTTATTTAATTCTAATTGTTATTAATTTTCTTTATTATTATTATTATATTATAATAATATGTGGTTTATTTTCCTAATTTAAATTTTTTAAATGTTAATCAAAGTCTGATTTGTTAATTTGTAAATCTTTATTTAATTCTAATTGTTATTAATTTTCTTTATTATTATTATTATATTATAATAATATGTGGTTTATTTTCCTAATTTAAATTTTTTAAATGTTAATCAAAGTCTGATTTGTTAATTTGTAAATCTTTATTTAATTCTAATTGTTATTAATTTTCTTTATTATTATTATTATATTATAATAATATGTGGTTTATTTTCCTAATTTAAATTTTTTAAATGTTAATCAAAGTCTGATTTGTTAATTTGTAAATCTTTATTTAATTCTAATTGTTATTAATTTTCTTTATTATTATTATTATATTATAATAATATGTGGTTTATTTTCCTAATTTAAATTTTTTAAATGTTAATCAAAGTCTGATTTGTTAATTTGTAAATCTTTATTTAATTCTAATTGTTATTAATTTTCTTTATTATTATTATTATATTATAATAATATGTGGTTTATTTTCCTAATTTAAATTTTTTAAATGTTAATCAAAGTCTGATTTGTTAATTTGTAAATCTTTATTTAATTCTAATTGTTATTAATTTTCTTTATTATTATTATTATATTATAATAATATGTGGTTTATTTTCCTAATTTAAATTTTTTAAATGTTAATCAAAGTCTGATTTGTTAATTTGTAAATCTTTATTTAATTCTAATTGTTATTAATTTTCTTTATTATTATTATTATATTATAATAATATGTGGTTTATTTTCCTAATTTAAATTTTTTAAATGTTAATCAAAGTCTGATTTGTTAATTTGTAAATCTTTATTTAATTCTAATTGTTATTAATTTTCTTTATTATTATTATTATATTATAATAATATGTGGTTTATTTTCCTAATTTAAATTTTTTAAATGTTAATCAAAGTCTGATTTGTTAATTTGTAAATCTTTATTTAATTCTAATTGTTATTAATTTTCTTTATTATTATTATTATATTATAATAATATGTGGTTTATTTTCCTAATTTAAATTTTTTAAATGTTAATCAAAGTCTGATTTGTTAATTTGTAAATCTTTATTTAATTCTAATTGTTATTAATTTTCTTTATTATTATTATTATATTATAATAATATGTGGTTTATTTTCCTAATTTAAATTTTTTAAATGTTAATCAAAGTCTGATTCGTTGATTTGTAAATCTTTATTTAATTATAATTTGTTATTATTATTATATAAGGTTTATATTCCTAATTTAAATTTTAAAAATGTAAACCAAAGTCTGATTTGTATAATATAATAATTAAAAGATAATTCGTTAATTTTCTTTATTATCTTATCAATAATAAGTAACTTTTATTTAAAAATTGAAATAAAAAATAATTTGTAGATTTGTAAATGTTAAATCAATTATAAACTAAAATTATCGAGTTTTTCACTATACAGTTAATCAGTTAATGGCCACCAATCACCATTAACAATGTAATAAATATGTATATA